TAAAAGCTTACTTCGTTAATGCAAAAGACAAGAACTTCAGTAGAATTCGTTAAATGATTTCTTGCGCACAGTGTTCCTGTTGCCAGTTCAGTGACACGCCTATGCACATTCATTACTGCTGTACAACACGCATTTCCTGCATCCGTTTGCATTTCTTCAATAGTACAATTACACGCTAACGAACTAATCATCAAAATTAGCGCGCTCGAGATATTACTGATATATTCCATTACAGTTTGAGTTGCCATACCAAAATCGATGCATAACAATTTGTCAATATCAGTAATTCCACTTTGAAGAATTGATACATCACTAAAATTGATAGCTATTAAAGTATTTTTCATAAAATTTTTTCTCATAAAACCTCACTTTAATAATTAAAGGAAGTATAAGTGGGATCGCTGACGAGGTATGAATCGCAAAAATTTTAAGTAAACCAAAAAAAGTCTTGCTTGATTAAGATCATAAAATTTTGAGGGTGATAGTCTGCAAATGCAATGGACAAAGGGGTTTCACACTAGGATATGAAATAAGGTGACAGCACCAACAAGCAGTTATCTATCAGAAAAAGAACTCACTTAAAACTTTCTTAAATCAATAAGATAAAAATGTTATTACTTGTGATCAATTTTGGAATACGCAGGAAATGATCGTTGCGCGACGGCATTTTGAAATGGATAAAGCAATTTTGTAGGTATTAAAGCCGAAATTAATTTTTCGATAGGAAAAGATGAAAATAATAAAAGCCCGTTTACTGCTAATATTTCTTTCTGAAATTTGACTGAATTTTTTTCCAAAAATTAATTGAAAATTCATATGGAACCACTAGCATAAAATGCGCTATAATGAATTAACAGATTACATCCTGGCAGTAGTTATTCTAAAAAATGAAAAACATCACTATAAATGATGAAAAAAAGATATCAAAAATGCATGTTTCCAATAAGTAATAATTTAGTCGTATGTGCAATTAGCATAACACTACTTCCTGGCAGCAGTATGTACTAAATAAAGAGCGTATAGCATGTATGAACTAAATAAATACACTCGAGTAAGTAGACTGAACGCTTCCACTCATATGTTGCTTGAGACAAAAGTTATGCATCTACATCCATATAACTAATACATATATAAAGATATGAGCAAACAACATTCTATAATGAAGTAAATGCTACGCTTTACAAAATAGAAACTTTGGAAAATCTAATTTGGAAAGCGTAGCATTTACTTCACTTTGGAATTTTGACCATGCTGAATAACTTATACGTCAGAAAGCAATACTTACAGAAGAAATATTTAACTGTATACAAGGTTGAACAGTTTCAACTATATCGTGCTTCGTTTGATTACATTCTTGTGAGCAAAGATGACTATAATACTCAGTGGGCAATGCTATCCCAGCCAACAAGCAACGTATAATATCCACCAGATGAATCGTATTAACACGTCCATCATGCAAATGTTTTGCAAAATTTTTTATCAACAAACGATATGCTTCACTAGCCAATAATATGTCATTGTTGGATACTGAAAAAAAAAAATATCACGTACGCAATCTATAGCACTACCTATCGAATTTCGAAAACGTTACGAAAGATCTGTCCATCTATACTTAAGAAATACTTACGTTTGTCCAAATTTGTACCAATAACGTGAATTGACAAGATAATTTCGTGCGTTTGCATTAACGAACCATTACTGATGACATATTTCAGAAGGCTACTTAAATGTTCCTCTTTTTGATCTACATTACTGGCAAGGCTCCAACTCATTTCTGCATGGTCAGCATCTTTTGGCATCCGGAGTCAAAGAGTCTGAAAACTGTTAAGAAATAAAACTTCATCTATAGTAATAAGGAAGAAATACGTTGCAATGAATAGAGTAAGACATTCCTGCGTGAAGACCTCGAAGAAAGTAATCGCAGCTCACGAAAAGTTCATCAAATATCCCTATGACCACTCGACAATCTACACTTTTTGTTTCATGAAGTAGAGTGGATACAATAGTAAAGACAATTACCGCACCGAGATGTTCATACTTTTTTTGGAATTTCAGGATGAATCACACTTACAAGTGGTCACTCAACCGCTGATATATAATGAAAACTTAACTACGATCTCTGCTTTAGTAATTACATTCGATGCCTTGATCAGGAATACATTTACCATATTTGATAACTGTAATCGATAAGACAGATAAATGACAATATAATCCAGTGATAGCTATATTCGTAACTTTTTGCCATCACTTGGTATATCAATACTATGATGATTAACGATTAAATTGAAAGCAATAGTGTAATACATCATAGAAGTTGATCTTTTCGAAAATGTAATCCCGTTCTTATCAGTGGTAAAAAAGAAAAACATACTGTTCCTATCAATAGTTTGGGTTGTTAATAGAACTTACTTGCAAAGACTCTTTGCTACTACTTTTAATCGACGCTTCATCGACAATGTAATGAAATATCATATTTGCCTCATCCCTCCCACCCCGATAACACTGCTCCTCAGTGCTTCTCCCAATCACAGCTCTGTTTGCACAACACAAATCTCGAAAGTGAATACTAATGAGTATCAGTAAGTAGTAAATGAATCAATATCAATGAAATCTACTCTTGAAATTTGCTTCAGCACGTATCAATCGATGTCTACTTTGTCCCTTTTTCTAGACTATTTTGTCCCGCTCTCAATTCCATCCAATCGTTTAGACGCTTTCATCAGTGTTAAACAAAAAAACAAGCGCAAATCCTCTGTTGTTGAATGCTTATGAGAAGAGACGTAGCTCTCCTCCTCTTTCTCTCACGTGTCCCACTTGCTGTCACCCAAGGGATTGAAATTTTGCAAATCTGAAAACGACTGAAATTTCCTGAATGAACCGGTCACGGTGTTATGATGCATGATCAGGGACGCCATGCAACCAACTAATACCTTAGGCAGTTGGATAGATGACCGCTGTAAATGTGGATTGGAATGAGATTAATTCTGTCGTCCCCGTACTTTACTGGTGGAGGAATAATTCAGGCTGGCTACTGTAGTCCTATCGTCCATTATATTGACTGATAAGAGCTTCATGAGGATGGTTTCCTGATCAGTTAAATCTTATAACGCCCTTCTGGAAATGCAAAAATCTCACCCGAAATGAAGGTTATGAAAAATCGCTTTTTTTTAAAAAAAAAAAATCTTCTAAGCAAGTTTTGGGCACTACTTTTGTTTCTTCTATTGATATCTCTTGCATTCTTTTTAAGGTAAATGTAATTCCTTCACTTTGATGTTTAAAATTTCTATTTTCATTTTGGCATGTAATTTTGTTCGGAATGAAACATCTAATCAGCGTTCCCGTCGAGCAAGATGATGAGCACTTCCTTAAACAAGCACATTATTTTATTTCAGGGAGCCGTGTAAGAAAGTCATGTATTACTTGGTCCGATGGCTAATGAGGCGAGTCAAGTATACATGTTCAAATTGTGCTTTGCTCTTTTGTTCTATCTTCATTAGCACTCTATTCATCGGAGTATTACTGTCAGCGATGTATAAAGGTTTAACGGTATAGTTTATTCCGTTGTTCTTACAATTACAATAAAAATTAAATTCATCAAAATTTTATCTCATCACAATTCATAAAAAATTTTCCTCTGCTGATTTTTCACCTGACCTAAATAAGGCACGAGATTCTTATTGACCTTTATATATTTTATAGAAATTAGGTGTTTTGTTTACTAAATATCTATTACTCTTGTTCTTACAGTTAGATGAGAATTTTTCCGTGTCTTCAAAATGCCATGAATTCACTAGCATTTCTTTATTACTTGATTTCGATTTGTTTTTTTATCAAATATAAAAAAACAAATCGAAATAAGTGGCATAAAAATGATTAGTTGATTTTTCAATTAACCTAAAATGAATCAGGATTTCTTTCTTTTTTTCTTTTTGTCAGTTTTTAGCAGAATGCTGTTGCTTTCCCTTATAGAAGTTATTCATTATATTTAATTCTGAGATCGAGATTTATTTTGTGATGGAACCCAGCAAAAAATAAAATTTGATCTATGAATAAGTTTAATTTCGTGTTGCCAACAAAACTGTTATCCTCTAGAAAATAGTTTTAATTATAATTTTTGTCAGCTATTCTTTGGATTAATCTTTGAATGTAGTTTCTCTTTTTTATGCATCTGACTGATATCATATGGAAAATGATTTGGCTAGAGATGCTAGTAGGTGCTGATAACTCAGATCGTGTTCTTCATTAAATATTGTGATGTGGTTTTTTTATACAGTATCCATAATATGACTTTAAGCAGGAAAATAACAAAATGTTTCATCTAATCAATTAAAGGAACTCATCACAAACTTTCATTTATACAGATTTTAATTGTTTCAGGGTGATGGATTTTATTATGAGACTGTTGGAAGATATAGACATGTATCAATTTGGAAGAAAAGTAATTTGTTTTAAAAAATATTATTCTCGATACTGTGTGTTATTTGGAATACACCGTAATGTCTTCTTTATAATAGCAAGGCGTAAAAGTCGCATTCAAATTTTTGGGAAAAATTAGGAGAAGGTTAATATGCTAAACTGATGGAAGCCTTATCGTATCAGCAATTAATACAGGTGTAGAAGAACAGGAATGTGATATATCGGAATCAGATACTGTCGAATATCCTTACTGTCGCGAAAAAATGCAATGGATGCAGGAAGGATGGCAAACACATGAATGTTATGCATCTTACGGTGTAAATGGAACGTTCTGTTCGTTCAGGATTTATCTTTCTGAGGTCGAAAAGTATTGTCCGATTTTGTCGTGGCGAACAGTCATAAAAGATGATATTGCAGTTTTGCCTGAAAATGAAGTACTCCCGGTAGTTGATTTGCTTGTTCTTAGGATTATGTTCTACGTTTCTAGTTTTAAAGTAGTGAAGATTAGATGAATGTATTGGTAAATCTCAAAGGTGATAATCTTCCATATGATTATTCAGCGCACAGCACTAAATTTTACGATATCGTTGCAGCAAAACGATTCATGATACTTCCCCGACTTGCTATCTTCAATTTAACTCTTGCTTAGTTTATATGAGTAGTTTGGTCTATCCATAGCTGAAGATAAGAAACCACTGCAGTAATGTATGCTGCAATCTTTTTTCGGTCTCTTAAAGCTTCCAGGAAAATATTTCTTTCGGTATGTTAAGTGAAATTTTATGAGAAATTCGAGAGATTCATGAAAATAAATTTAACCGTCGGTTAATTTACATGCTGCATTTTACTAAAAATCACTTTCAGGTAAAACGAATTTTGTCGGACCTTCTTAAACTTATGTTTGATAATAAGCTTAATTATGAATTTATAAGAAATCGAATTTCTCATTTATGGCCTAAATGGTTGAGTGCTTACAATGAACTGATAATCAAATGGCCAAAAGTTATATCTTCACGATCAAAACTCAATGTACGTGGGTAGATTTCAATTTCAAACCTTCGATTTTTCTTCTTTCAAAATGAACATCGTTTATTTTAAATATATTGATTGCAGATAATAGTGCACATGGGTTTTCTGAGCAAGGAAAGTGGTTTCAAATTCGGTGAGCTATCATCTACCGGTGGACCACTTGGAGAACTTGTGCAATGGTCCGATTTGATTGCAGCACTTTATCTTTTGGGCCACAATCTTATGATTTCTACTGAAATTAGCACACTAAAAAAGTATATTTTCTACATATTCTTGTATAATAACAAATAACATAGATGATGAAAAGGAACTCCTATGAGATAGAAGTCCTTTTCGATGATGATATTCCACTATGAACTTAGTTCCAAATGTCAGTAAATTACCAAGATGAGTAAACTTTGTAATCAATAAATTATGGTTTTGAGGGATAAATCAATGATATATCGTGAGAAGTGACATCGATTATAATAATTGTATAATAAATTGATAATTATGTGTGGTAAATAGTTTAAAACATAAGTTTTATTAAACATAAAGTAGGACGATAACATATTCAACATATTGTTTTTTTTGCAATTTTAAATTGTTTAATAGTTCAATTTTTTTCAGGATGGATAGGGATTCTCTTTGTCTTGATTATCACTAATTAATAGCATTACAGGACTATTTGTCCTCTTTTCGGCGATGAAAATTCCCTCTCCTTGCTCACGTTTTGAATTAGTTCTGTTAAATTTGCTTAATTTTTCAGAAATTTACAGAAAATCGATTATAATTTTCCTTGTCCACTTCAAGGTGGAGAAATAATTAATCTTCTTTTCACTGATATTATTGGCCTCAAGTATCTCCGTGGAAGAATGAGTGATTTTTTTAACAAAATGAAGTAAGTTGATAAATTGGTAGATTTTCCGTCCTTTGAGAATTTTTTTGCATTTTCAAATTTAGATCTATATCTGTATATCTGTTTGTTCTCTTATTAGAGATTAGAATTATCTAAGGTATTTTTGATTTTCCTCTCATTTATATTAATGTTATTTAAATCCACTCTTTTCTATGAGGATCACGGGGAATGATAGAGGACATGCACTCATTCAGTACTGATCAGGAGAAGTTGCTTTATTTTAGGTGTAAATTACGAGTTCTGGATTCATTCGGTACACATGCGGAATTCAATTCTCAAAATTACTTCATCACTCATAAAAATTCATTGGGTGGATCAGGGAGTAATCCGTGGGGTAACCATCAGTTGGATTTGCAGCAGTTCATGACTATGTTTCCTCATACAGATGATAACACTTTTCTCGGCTTTGCGGTGGATATGCATTCAGTTAACCAGGATATCAAGAGAGATAATATTACACTGGTAAGTCTTTGATATGATTTTATCGATAAATGTTTAGTTTAGAGCATTTTGGAGCTGCATACGATGTAAGACCTTGAGCAGACTCAGATTTTTTATCTTGGATATAATTCGAATATTTAAGACCAGGATTTCGATTCGGATCATAATAGTTGGCATTGTTGACCTACCAGACTATGTAAGATATATCCTTTTATGATGCATTTAAACTCTAATTATGCTATTTTAAATTTGAATCAACGAGCATATTAATTTGAAGTGTTGTAAATTTTAATTGCTCCTAGCATTTGTAGGTTTATGGCAAAGCAGGCTATATGTGGAAAAATGCGAAACGACTCATAGAAAGAGTACGAAAATTTACGGATGTGCATGCAACAGTTAACGATAGTTTGTCAGATTTCGACAGTCTTATAATAAATCATGGTATTTTGACAGGTCCCGAATTGCACGCTTTGATGAGAAGGGCGAAGATATTTTTAGGTCTTGGTTTTCCATTTGAAGGCCCTGCACCATTAGAAGCCATTGCAAGTGGTGTTGTTTTCATCAACCCTGCGTTTAATCCTCCCAAATCACGGAATACATCTGATTTCTTCAAGGACAAACCAACTTTGCGTAAAGTAAATTTTAAAAAAAGTTTGATTTTTCATAACTTAATGTTTTGATAGACTTCAATGAGTCTCATTGCTGATATTGTTGAGCAATCATCTTCGATTATGATACGCCGAGCTCACATGATTTACATTGGTTACTTGCAATATAAAAAATTTTTTTGTAGGAACTATATCGAAGTCCAAATGTATTGGAAAACAACAATTAGGTGCTTTTTTTGTTCTGAAGTTTGATTTTATAAAATTCAAATGCTCTGGAAATTCCAGCTAACGAGTCAAAATCCCTATGCGGAGCTTTTTATCGGTAGGCCCCATGTATTAACTGTTGATATTGAAAATTTATCGCAAGTGGAAGATGCAATACATGAAGCTTTACTTTCGAAAGTTAGTGTTTAGATAGGTTTTCATGAATTCCTTTACGAAATTGAATTGTAATAAGTTCAGGATTTTGAACCAGAATACTAAATTAGTTTTTATGAAGCCTACAATCATGAATTTATTGTTCTCCAGCTAAGAAATTGGCTCAGCGATAACATTATCCGGACTTTAATCCAACATTTCTGAATCACAACTTGTTTTCTTTGTAGGACCGGGTTGTTCTTTAGTTTGGAAGAATATTTTATTTTAAATTTTTTAATTACGATCCAACGGAAGCAAAAATTAAATAATATATAAATAACTCTTCTTTGTTTCTAGCCTACTGCGTATATTCCTTTCGAATTCACAATTTTGGGAATGCTGCAGCGAGTCAGTATTCTTGTTTCCAAACAGGACTTTTGCCATGTCGGTCGTTTTCCTCCTCCAAATGCGATGTTGACCGTTGAGGCAGTTCCAATGCAATCTTGTCAAGATGCATGTCGACAATATAGTTAGTTTTATCATTAACAGACTTCAATATGTTTGGAAATAAAAGCAAATCAATATGATTTGATTTGCTAATGAGGAGAAAAGAGAATGGAGTCCTATTCGAGAACAAAAATTTTTGTTTATTTGTTCGAAATTTTATGGGCTTCTCGGTCATTATACACTTATGATGAGAAAAGTTCCCTGTAGGGTTAACAGTTGCAATTTTTTATAATTGGATTATTTCTAGATCTTATGTGTGAGCGTTCATTCTTCCGTGTCGTAAATGTGCCTGGATTTCTGAACAAGTGCGTCCCTTCATTTTTCACATGTGATATAACATTTTTTAAATGTTGTCATTCTGTTCATTCTTATCCTATTACTATCGTTCACTTCTCCAGTCACACATAAATTTCCTACAGGTGACCTTTTCACTATTTAAAGTGGTGAATTCTCTATTGGTTAATTACATTGTCTATTTCACCAAAGACTTTGTATCTGGCGATTACCACAGATTCACTTTCAGGAGTGGGTCATGTGCGGCACTGAGAAGTACCTCAAGTCCATATGCACCATATGAATGCTCGAAACAAGAAAATCCAGATTTGTATAGTTGTGCATCTGTTCCCATCACTCCGAGCATCCGACGAATCTGCCCTTGTCGTGATTTTATACGGGGCCAGACAGCCCTCTGTTCTTTTTGTTTATGACTCAGGTTTTGATTATTTTTCATATAATCTCAGAAATGTTATTCGTTGCACCCCTTTCGTAAACAAATGCTTGCTTTGAAATTTAATAGGTACGTATTCCATCTCTACGCTTGCATAATCTTTTATGATAATGTCATCATTCCATATATATGATGTACATCTTTATTGGTATATCATATACTTTTATCTGCGTATCATTTTAATGTACATTCCTTACGTCCTATCTCTTATTCTAATGGCTTATTACTTGCTGCATAATTTATATTTAATTTAGAGTAAAAATAGTGTCAGGGAAAAAAACGAATTCGAACATTTTGTTTTATTCAAGTTTAAATGGATCATACAGCAGAGGGACACAATTCACAATGTCAAGAAAAGGTTTGATCCGGAAATTTTACATAATTCGTTTTGCTAAGAAACAAATTATGTAGGAGTTCCTTAGAGTGTTGAAGATAAAAAGAATACTAGAGGTCACCGGAAGCTGATAAAAATCTCCTGAACACAATTGTCAAAATTGGTTCCATACAGCCACATATGAAAAATGCAAAGCTGATCGTTTCGTGATCATTCAGCATTTTAAACAAATTAAAAAAGAAAAGAGCATGATAAGTTACTACTCTTCTGATTCTACCTAACAATCGACTGAATTCTGATGTGTGAAGAAATTTTATACATACATCGCAGCAGTTGAATCGAAAAACCACAGTGACTCCAAAAAACAGTTCGTGTATGTGCAATAGTTTTCTGAATTTCACGAAACTATTACTGCAGGAACTAAACATACTGGGATTTTTTGCATTCCTCATCCCATGTTTGTAACTGTCCATTATAATTATTTAACAGTGTAATGCAAGAATTTTCACTATCAGATAATTAGCTTATGAATTCCTCAAAAACAATTTTATTGTGACAGTAGCTTGCATTGCCAGGGAAATAATTTCTCTTCGATCTCTGTGAATAAGTGTTCTAGACTCTTCTTGCGTTGTGACCTAAATATTGTCTGATAGATTACGAGAATTTCTTAGCCTCAGCGCTTTTGATATTTTTTTTCCGAATTATTACTGCTGAACTTGATATATCACTTTATGTGTGATCAGCGTTTCAATTTGTGTATGTCACTTAAGACATGATCTTACATAGTTAATTAATGAAAACAAATTACATCCAGAAGCATGTGACCATCATCATACAGTAATTTGAAAGTGATCAGACAGGATCGAAATGAGATCAGGAGTGTAACATTCGACAAACAAGTATAATTTAAATTTCATGATTGCTCTTGTTGTTTTCTTTCCCCTCAGCTTAACCTATGAAATCATTCTCCACAATATAATGTTAAGAGAGTGTAACGATAGTTTTAAACAATAAACTAAGAGTGATTAATACAGTTTCTCTTCAAGTTTTTCTCATCGTTATATATCAGATGAATCATTTGCATCTGTCTGATGGCAGTTCAAACTTACAATTGCCATTCGCATTGCAGCGCGAAAATTACGAAGACATCGCTGGAAAAGCCTAAAAAACTTTACACTGTATACATGAAATCTTCCAGTAAAAATTTTAACTGTTTGAAATGTCGCTAAGCCTCAAGCTATATTTGAATATATGTTGGTTTGTTTTTCACAACATTAAATGTTTCTTCTATTCGTAAATACAATAACAAGTAAGAAATAGAATCAACTAAATGGAACAATATTTTATCAGAAAAGTATTATAAGTAACCGACTGTGTTTACAAAGCGAAATTACTTCCCACCCAATTTATTAACTAATAAAATGAAACTTACGACTGATCCAAACTGCCGACAAGCTTGGCTCGGAAGGAATTCACAACAGTCCTAAAGATAGAAAGATTACCAGTTATATATGATATGCTTGGAGTAAAATGTAAGATGAAAAATTCACTAAGAGAAGAATTTAAACCTTGTTTCCAATGCCAAGAAATTTTGTATACTTTCTTCTAACGCTGTAACATCTACGACAACTTGAGTGGTTTGCTCCAATGACATATTTTGTAAATGGTCGAGTCGATCAATTAGTTGATCAAATGCGTTTTGTATTATTGGACTAAGAATCTAAAACTAAGCTAAATTAAAAAAAAAAATCGTACTGTAGAAATCTGCACTATAAAAATTGCTCATCAGTGGTTTAAACTGTCTCAAAATGTCAAACTAACCGTTTGTTCAGTGAGCTCGGTCTGTTATAATAATGCGTTTTGCCTGTTACATTGTTATAACATTACAGTGAAATGTTAAAATCATTCTTTGTACATTTAGCTCACTTTGTTTCCAACGGATTATAATAAGTAAATAGTTGTAAAATGTTAAACTGACTTTGTTCACTTAGCTCTCTTTGTGTCCACAAGGACTATAAATTGTGCTCCTCGATGCAATTCAGTCAATACCACCAATTCATTATTACCAGTATTACGAACGGTCTTTACCACCAGGAGTGCTACCAAATAGCGACTTACTTTACGCATAACTCTGATGCTGTCTTATAAAATCCAAGAATAAACCTCCCAATAAAACGTTTATCCCAACTACTTTCGTCCGTGCCAATTCATCTCCAAAAACTTTCATGACAACCGTTACAATCCAGTAGGAATCTCAAAATCTCTTGATAGGGAATCAAAATTTTTTAATTATTTCTAAATTTTCTGAAAATGTCGTACAGATGCATCTCCTGTTACCATTTAGAAATTGGGAAAAATACCTCGCGCATGAGGTGTGGAGCAAGTAAATATATTTCCGACTGAATGAATATTAGATACATGATCAGTTCTTTGATGTAATCTGATGCCTCTGAAACAGCTTGAATAAAGATGGGAATTATGGGATTTATTAATTATACTTGATAAATGTCAACTTAAATAGACGAGTAATTTGGTAGCAAACCAGTTTATCCAAATTTCAGCAGTTTGATGAATGCAGCACGGCAAGAAATCATAATCAAATGAAAAGTTCTATCCATTTCATTTGAATAAAAGAGTTTATTATATCGACAAAAAATGTTTTGTTCATAAAAACATCAGTTTCGCGATTTGAGGAACTGATTTGCTAAATAAAAAATAAAAGTGAATACAACCTTCGTTCGGTAGATTATCATAATTAGCCGATCCAAACATGGAACTAAACGTAGCGCATTTTATTTGCAAATAATACTTCATTAAGTTCTGCCGAAACACCAACAGCTCTCCCTTGCTTTTCTGAAAGGAACTTTTAAAATTTTTTTCAAATCCTAAACACGAAGAAAACAAGGGAAAAAAGTCCCTCACAACTTCAAATAGTAAAGCAGTTTAAGCTTTTCAAATGATAGTTGCTTCCTTTAGTTTTACTATGATATGAATAAAAAACATAAAGTTCCAACAGAAACTCACTTCAAATATGACGTCACCATATTTGACACCATTCTCAGCTAAGCGACGGCACAATGCGGGCAAAGAATTACCAATCACATATTCAATGTTACATATGGCAATGAGCAACTTCCGGCTACTAGCTGCTCCTTCACTGAATAAAGCCGATGGACGTTTCATGCCTCTACATAATTTAAGAGTTATTTGCACATCAAATTTTCCAAAAAGTTTCTTCTGGTGCCGTTAATTAGTTTTGGGCCTTACATCGGAGAAACCAAATTGTACAATTTTCAAAACAAAAGAAAATATGACCTTGATTTTCAACTATAGGAAACCCGCTTTAAAATCATTAAAACTTATTAAATTTTACAACATACTTTATCGCTAGAGTAGAATTCACTATACCTCAGCTGTAGGCCATTCTCTATACAATCACGAATTGATGTGAGAATCATCGTAAATAAATCAACCAACATCAAACGAAATCGTTCCCTACTAAACAAATCCAATTCACCCGTATAATTTGAAGATGAAAGTATTTGTCGAATTTGTCCCATGCTATCATTTACCTCAAAATAATTACCCTATTAAAAAACAGTTATTAAATGATAGTAAAAGTAATTTCACTCTGATTAAAAAAACTCAATACTGGATTTTAGTTAACTAAAACTGTTCTTAAAAATAAAACATTTCCGTTTTTTTTCTGGATTGCTAACGAGAGTGATTTAACATGAGAGTGACCATAATATCAGGAATGCTCTTCCTGAACAATTGTTCTTCATCTCCACATCTTTCAGATTAAGAACGTGAGATTGGATAGAAAATAATTACTGAGTACCCTTTACTTTCTACAAAAAATCAATGTAAGCCTCACCTCGGTTTCATACAGATCCGGTAAAATAGTTTTCGACAAACCCGTATGTTCTAGTTTCCAGATTTCTCCATTTTCTAGGCTAATTACTCCTATAATAAAATAATAGAGCATAAATGCAAAGAGCTTCAGAAGGAATTTTTCTGAGCATCTCATAAGAAATTATGATTGTAATACCATTTTATTTGCTAAGCTTTGTACTTTATTAAAATGAGTGTATACGAAATATGAAAGACGATAATGTAACAATTTTGGTATAAATGGGACAATTTTGGATATAAAGCCAAGGAGAAAACTGGTCCTATTTTAGGTTATAGATAATCTTTAGCAAGACACTGTTAATTGGGAAATACCAACTTCAAAACGGAGACTATTTCAGCTAGAGATTTTTATAGCAGCTCACCCTGTGTAACTCTCTCAATTACTTTTGATAAGCATTTTAATCGAATGGTAACACATAGCTCCAATAATGGCTGCAGTTGCTCCGAAGTAAAATTGCAATCCAGCATAAAACTTACGCATGACCTGAAAGGGTTAATTGAATGATCCTGTCAATAAATGATCTATTTAAAATCAATGAAATCAGCAAGATATGATACACATGCGCTCCAATATATGTTTTGGTTTTACAGTTATACATCTATTTTCCATTTGAACATCAGCAAACAAAATGTAAAGAATTCTTGACTAGTCCACAGCTTTCAACATATAGCAACATATATTGATCTCGTTGTTACCATAAAAATGTTCAAATTAAAATTTGTGGAAATTTACTCAAGTATTTTGTGATTAGTCACCATAGACAACAAAAGAAACGGATGTTTATTCAATTGAATTTTGAAATTTATTCAATTTGCTGTAACCAGAAAATTATTTTATTTACCTTAAAATTTTTAGTGATGAAAATAACTGCTGCGTGAGAGGAGATGAAGTAATAGATGGCCATTTCGCAAACTGTTCCCTGTATTTCCGCAAAACTGATTCGGGTAAGGCATCAGGTACCAATGCATTCAATATTAGCCATGATGAAACATTGATTGTGTTTATGAGCATTTGCTGAAAATATACGGATGAGTTAATGAAACAGCAATGAGCAGAACTGATAACAATTTCTTGCCTATCGAAGTTGTCATAAATTTCTAGATGAAACAGAGAATACTACGAAACCTGGAATACAAAATAATTAAATAGATGTCTAATCTGTTTAACTCTCAGAAATTACAAGAAAATGCACAGCTTATGCTCAACTTTATAAAAAGAGATGTTTCTAACTAAAATAAAATCAAAGCAAGGAAGATCAAAGCAGACTTTGGATTTTGGAGAAAAATTAAAGAAATAAAAAAGAATGTTTTCAAAGAATTTAAACTAACATTAATATCACATAAACGATCCACCGATGTCAGATTTGTAACGGATGAGGAATATATCTGAGAAAGTTTCCAGAAAATTTGTAATTTGTCGGTAATTAGGTCTACCATTTCTTGAACGAAATCGTGAAGATTATGCGAGTTTTCTTCAACTATTACACCAACAATAATTTTGGAAGGAATGAACGGTATAAAGTTGAAAATGAAGCATAATGAAGATGTTAGGATACTAAACGGTACTACAAATTCTAAAGTTTTGAACAATTTTTTTCCGGCAGTGATAGAAAGTAAAATACGAGTGAAATAAGCACATATTTCCAAGATAATAAAATCAAACAAATGAATATTCTGAAGATACTTACATGAAAATATACTCGACGAGTCCTTATTATTGTTGACTAGGCCAAGTGCTGTAAACTCAAATATTTTCAAGAGAAATGGTAAATTCCAAAGAAATAAAAATTCGATTTCCAAATAATACCTAATTTCAAATGCTTTTTTTGCGTTTGCCACAAAAGATCTTCCAACCAACAATGATATGCTGTGATGCAGTCCCATGCTGGATCTGAATTCGGTTCAAGGACCTGTAAATGAAATTAGGATTAGAGTGTCAAAACTGATAACAACTACTATCTCGTTGCTTAGTTACTCAAATCTCTCTTTGTACTAAAATGTTCTAGTCACTTTATAAAACAATTCATTTACAAATAAGCACGCAAAAGAGGAAAGGGAAATAATAATAACCATTACTTTCAGATATTTAATTAGTTTGCTTTGATCCTCAAATGAAGTAGGCATATCAATCAGACGCTGTTTCATATTTCTCTTAAATATTTCCATTTTCTGATCCAACTCAGCCATTACTGAAAACTATTCTTGAACTAGTTAAGTTATTCAACAAAAAGTTTATCTCACATAACAAATTAGTTATAAAGAAAAGAGCTCACCCTCCTTAAATAACGACACTTCAGTATCCTTGAAAAGTGACTTTGCGCGAGTATAATCATTCAGAATCGTTGAATATTCGCCCTGAAATTAATACTAAAAAATCATGGGGTTATTTCCAATTTTATTTAAAGGATATAAAATGGTTTCGCGATTTAGTATGAAATGTAGATAAATTAATCTAATCCTAAGAAGAAATAAATAGGCTGTACTCGAAATTTAAATAGCAACAATGATTTTGAGAAAACATAAACTCTTGTCACCTTTGCTAAATTTTGATCGATAGCACTGGAAAGAAAGAAAATAAATCGAAAACGAGTAAGCACTGATAAGGCATTTCGTGTGGCATCAGCTCGATCCTTCCGTGTTAAAACCTCATAGAATACTGCATTTGCTGCTGTGTGCGATCCAGCCAGCTGAAAATTGTTTCCCAAAAAATTCTATACGAGTTACAATTCGATGCTTAATATGATCTACAAACCATCAGAACTTCGCAATTACACCCGAACTGCAAACCTTGTCAGAAATATTTTTTGTGAACGGCCAACCACGAGCATTCTTTTCTAGCTGCATTTTATCATGAAGTGCTGCCAGTGTATCAACGCAGTTAATCAGTGAGTATAGATTTGCACGATGTAAATCAGAGCTACTTTTTTCGCCTTCTTTAGTGCTCTGTGTTAAATATGTCAACCCTCTTCTGAGATCAGAAAGTCTGCAAAAAAATAAAACGGCTCTAACCGTGGCGAAATATGAAATTTGATATACTATTACTCATCACATGCTAGTGATGCGATTGAACTTCTGAAAACATTTGCGTCGGAGATGTTTAATCCTTTTCTTCTAACATTTGGAAAATATCCACGTATAGCATTTCTTAAAAAACTAAATATTAAATTAAAGCATTGCATTTAGTTCAAATACTGGCTGAGCTGTCGATACTAAATTCTTTCTTTCAAAGTACAACAATTTTTGAGGTTCTGATAATCTCAAAACCCACTTTGTTTCACGATGATTTTCAAGCAAGTACCAAGCTGGGTTGAAATTTTCCATTCGAAGATTGCCTGAACCTTCCGGAAACATTTGCATCAGGGACGTTTGATCCATTTTTTTGTGTCTAGAAAAAAAAAACATTGACCTAAAACAGATGTATTGATTATCAAAGATAATATGACCATAAAATGATTGAAAATTCGAAATACTGCAATAATTCTGCCGAAAAGTATGGAAACAACAGTTTATCTTCAGGCAAAATCGTAGAATTTACGGCTCAATCGTCAATCCTAACGCATCCAAAGCAACTGCTGTTTCGGGAACATTACGGACAGCTTCACGTCCAGGAACTGTCCTTGTTTCATCCACCCAAACAGCACTTTCCTCTAATGGACCAACTTGCACGATAAAAACACGAAATGTGACATTTGAAGTGCTTTTTCCCATTGATTTTGTCAGAAGGACTACTTCGCCGACACCACGTTTCGCTTGCCCAATACCTGAAAAATATACCATTTATACTATTGAGTTTAATAATCAGTTTATGCTAAATAATTATTATGACCATTAGAAATTTAATCGATGAAGTCACTAACTGTTTCAAACTACTCAAGCTAAGAGTTAAGATTAGTAAAGAATTCAGGCTAGGAATCAATATCACATATTTCATAGTCAGTAAGACAACTAACTAGATTATCACTTATGGTCATTAAAGACTCCAAGTAGTCTGTAAAACCGAAATATTTATAAATTATCGTTACGTGCTACAATCAGAGAAGGTGATTTCCATTTTGCCGACATTAAGCAGTCAGTTCCACAAATAGATAAAGCAACCAGATCCGATTGATTCCTTCCAAGATTTTCGCCACGAATCTTAATCTGCGTCCCCGGAACTCCTTCTTTGGGTGATAAACCAGTAATCAATGGCCGAAGAGCAGCATCACTGACCGAATGACCAGCATTTCCAGCCATCCTGAAATTTGACCATTTTCGATCAATCAGTTCCTTCTTACTACTCAGAACATGAAATCGGCTTTCATAATAAGTTTTTCATTGGTTCGTTTTCTTCCCAATTTCTTTGTTTTATGTAAATTTAAAATCGTTCAGCTTATGTTCGAAGTTAAACCACTCGTAGTCTAAACCGTTACTCCATTCTCAAAAACATTACTTTTTTCTTTCCATAATTGACACAAAGTGAAAAACGACAATCCACGACAATGCTGTTGTTTAGGTCATCCCAAACATTACTTTATTCATTGGAATCTTTTTTTTTAATTCTTCAAATCTACTCAAAGACTATTACAGGACCGTTGGAAAAAAGATCCTAATTTTTTAAATTATATACGATATCGATTCGACAAGCAACAGAGAAATTATTTCAAATCACAAAGCTTATAAAACGAATCCCCACTAAACTGCCAGTTCACGTTGCTTTGTAAACAAGTCGCAAGATTTAATAGTTTCACAAGATCGTTACCGGTGGTATGAGCTTCGGGAGCGATCGCGGTACGGCGGATTTTGGATCAGGTAAGAAGAAAAGGGGGGTGGGTAGGCATGCACAGCGATGTAGGCTTTTGTCCTTCAGTGAAGATTCTTAATCTTATTCCATTTCAACCATAATTCATGACTATGAGGACTTTGAATAATTATAGCGACTTTGATATTGGACACTGAAGTATTTGTTACCCTGAAGATAAGCTTTTCAGAATGCAGAGAATTTCGAGAAGCTGAATAACACTAAAAAAGACAGTGCGAAAAAGAGATGGACAATCGTGATAATGTGATTGAAGCATTCGTGAACGAAACGCGCACTCCGCACAGTACTGCATTTGCTTTTCATGATGGTATCGTTATATTTATTATTGTGATAGAATTTCGTGCATGCAGTTGTCATTTCTTTCCATCTTTTGTATCTCTATACCTATTGAGTGTATAGCCTTTCTCTTCTCCTTTTCCTTCTTCACTCCTGCTAAGCAGTATTGATGATTTTCATATGGTTTCTTGGTTGTAAATGCAGAGATATGTTAGGGATAGAATATTGTACCAGAATCTAAGTGTTAGTGAAATCTTCTCGATTATTGGTGATTGTTCCGTTTTGTTTTACACTTGCTCAATACACCTTGGATTGTTATTTACGTTATGTCAGTATATATTTTAGGGCAGCAATGGGATTATGACAAATCACTACAATATTATTATGATTGGGAAAAGAAAGACGATATAGTGCCGCAGATTTGTGCTTCTAATTCTTCTGGTATGTGACCTATTTGAACTAGGATTCGCTTCTAATCTAATCTTAAAATTCGGAATTAATATATTTTCAGTGAAGAGCAGTACTCCGAAATATTTGCAGATAAAATAGATGACTCGGATGTGGAGGAGAGCAGAGAGTATGAGGAAACCCTGTGCTGGCCATCTTACGCCTTTGTGCTACCAAATTTATTTGAACAGCCAGCTGATTTTAGAAATTATTTAGAAAAAGATTTGATTGAAACATCAACTCTTAAACGGCTTGAAAATTCTGGTTAGCTTTGCAAAATAATGTGTTAATAGAAGTTCCGCTTTCAGATATTGAGTGAATATAGATGGAAGATGTTTTTTTTTTTGGTAAATTCTTTAAATTTTTTCGAATCTTCTGATATCATTTTCCAAGAATATGGTGAAATTAGATCGCTTGAGATATTTGTTTTTCAAAAAACCTTCAGGCCATTTGAATTGGTGGTGTTGGAATGGTAGTGGACAACGGATGTGGCCTTTGAGTACTACCGGTGACGGTAATTGTCTTCTGCATGCGGCATCGCTTGGTATGTGGGGTATTCATGATAGACAGTTGATGTTACGAAAGATTTTATATGAGATGCTGACGAGGTTTGTTTTCAAATGCTTATTTAATTTATCTGCATGAGATTTTTAGAATTGAGTGGTCGTTCGATGCATTTGTGTGTGAGCTTTCTTATAAAGTACCGGATAATTTGATTCACTTTTACTTAAAATGTCATTACATCACATTCAAGCGATGTCGACTCTTATTTTAAATTTGAAATTTGGAAATTCAGTTTCAAACTAGTTAAAAATTTTATTTCCAGAGGAAGTAGACGCCATGTACTTTGGCGACGTTGGCGTTGGGCGGAAAGTCAATCAAATTTGCAGTCAGGCCTTGTTTTAACAGATGAAGAGTGGCAGTGTGAATGGGACAATGTTCTCCACATGGCCGCAGCAGTTCCGAGAACTTTTACTACTTCGTATTGTTTAGATTATTTTGAAAAGGCTGGAAAATTGTTAAGAGTACATGTGATTCATGTTTTGATGTATTTATCTTTGAAATATACGAGTAAACTTTTAGAGAAGATAACGAAGCTGAGAAGAATAATAGTACTGAACAAATTTATGAAAGTTTGGAGTCGATTCATGTATTTGCACTTGCTCATATTCTCAAACGTCCAATAATTGGTATAGTTATAAGAATTTTATATTGAATTCCGTCATTGTCTGATTTTCTCAAAATTTTAATTTATCTTAATCCTAGATTTTTTGGTTTTACAAAATTTTGTGTAGGAAGTGTTTCCAGTTGTGTCGGATACAGTGCTTCGCAATGCTATCGGTGAAGAACTTTCGCCAATTCCATTTGGCGGGATTTATTTACCTTTGGAATGTCCTTCGAATCAATGCCATCGTTCACCACTTGTTCTTTGTTATGATTCAGCTCATTTTTCAGCTCTAGTTACAATGCGTCACACACCATCTAACTCTCTGCAATGTAATTTTCTTAAATTTCTATAACGGATTTAAGGATGAAACACGAAAACATTTTCGTCCTTCATTTTTAGTTTAGTTGCATTAGTCGCATTCTTAGCGGATAGGAATGAGTACTTTAATCATTATTGTAAGTACCAAAGAAAGGAAACTTCTATTACAGCATGCGAATTATGATTTGAGATTTAATGAATCAAACGAATCCATTCTATGTAATAGCACCTGGTACCTCGAAAATCTGGATTGTGTTACTGATTTTATTTATTCTTACTTTAAGGAGCGAAATTGGTGTACCTTGTTAAAGTATAAGTTTCTACGTTTTCAGCCATCATTCCAATTACTGATAGAAACCGTATTCTGCTTCCTTTGCATTTTTCTGTTGACCCAGGACCGGACTTCTCTTGGTTCGTTTTTTATCTCGCTCACTAATTTATCAGATTAAATCGTATTTTGTTTCGATTCTTGCGCATGTGATCTGGATAAATGCTGATGTCTATGTCGTACGATTTTTTGCGATAAAATTTATGGTTTTCAGGTGGAAAGATTCCGAAGATGCTGAAATAGCAGCACGAATCCAACTGACCGAAGCTGATAGACTTTCGCTTATTTGTGAATATATGGATATTGTTAAGATTCCAGTAAACTTTATCTGAATAATATTGAATTATCAAGGCGTATAAAGTTTTCAGTTTCTTTTTGTTAACTTCAAAATTCAATTTAGGTTCGCCGATACTCATTCCGACACAACTTGACTGGAATCGGATTGGTAAGCGGTGAGGATGGGAGGAAGTCGATGACATTATCATGTGGCGATGTCTTCATTACTAAAGATCATTCCTCCAGGTTACTGAGTGAAATAGCACAACAAATCAAAAAACGGCTAAAAATAGGACGCAGAAAAAAGGTTTCAAAATCTTTCACTTTAGAATATACTCAAAAAATCGACTTTTTAGCGGCTTGTATTTGTATAAATCTTGTGAAATATGTAAATCTGCAACCCAAACTTATAAAACCTGTTTCTTTTGAGTCTCAGATTTTTCCATTAGTAATCCTTTTATTTATTTTGAATTTAAAACCCTTATTTACATTTTTTTCTATTTTTTATTTTTTTGATATATACAATGAGGAACACAAAGAGATTTTATCATACACATTAATGCATAGAACATGTAAAGAGATTTTATCATACACATTAATGCATAGAACATGTATGAATAATGAAGACATCTTATTTCAGAACCAGCTAATTGATGCAGAACAGGTTACAGTGTCAGATTTGCGGTGTACGAATCTTGTTATAGCTGCACGCTTACATTCCCATGCCCATCAGTATATGGAACATATGGTAGATAATTATTTGTGTTTAGCGAAAGAACGTTTCGAGCAATCGAAAAATGTTGGTTAACCTTTCGAGGATTTATCATATTTATCATATTACTATTTTCGAGATTTATCATTTAGATGCACAGAAGTTCGAACTCTAATTTCTGCGTTTCTATTTTCTTTTTCTATCAAATAGGGTAACGAAACAAATAGGGGTAAATTTTTTACATTTTCATTTAACGTAATCCATTTGGTCTCTCACAAAGTTTTTTTGATTCGAGTTTTTAAAAACTGAACTCTATTGAATTATTAAGAATGGCTATAAAATGAGCATAAACGATGCACCTTGAATTTTTATAGGCTCCTGGAACAATTTCGCGTCAGCGTGCCAGACTATCGCACTCTTTTAGTACATCGTCGTTGCTAGTCACTTGTATCAATAAACAATGTCAGAAGGTATATTTGTATCTTATATTTTTTATTCTACACAACAGATTTCGAATTTTCAAGTATTTCTGGATCACTAACGATAATTGCTGAAAATCATTGCACTCATTCTACCATTCGTTATATGTGAATGTTAGGATTATACATACGCAGTATTATCTGAGAAAAATTCTTAGTTCAACTAAATTATTGCGTTAATTTCACCTCTTATGAGGTATCAGTCGTTATACAACTTAACATTAATCAGCTTGTATACAGTGTCGTGTTAGTAGAACTATATCTTTCTGTTTTACGCTGTACAAAGTTTTGGTATTCTAACAAAATATAGGAGGGAGTATACGGAAGGAATTGTTTTTTGTGTATTAAATCTAGCAGGACAATATTTATGGAGAGTGAAAGAAGTTTTGTAGCGTTAAGACTACACAACTATAGTCCAGAAAAAAACCGGTTTATTTATTCGTCTTGATAATTGAGGTGACCATGAAATTCAGTAATCGTTTAATATCAGAATTACAGAGCGCCTCGCAGTCAACGAATTTCTTATGCAACGATTGCTTTGAGTATCAAAAGCAGTTGATGGCCTCGTTTGGGTTCATGTTTTACTTCTGTTGTTTAATTCTCAAATGTTTTCAAAGTTATTAAAGAATATTTCTTCAGTTTAAAGTTTCTGATATTTTTGATGCTGCATTTTTATTTTTGAGAGTGCAATTAGTCTATGATGCGGATTATGAGTTTTAGATAAATAAACTTCCACTTGGATATATTGTAATAACTTCCGGATTTCAGATGCTCACAACCGGGACATTTGCGCTCGCTTCGTTCGTGCCTTTCAACCGCCCTTCAAAATTCATCCAATTCATCACCTCCAACAGGTTCTATTACATCTGATACGATGCCATCTATTACGATATCATCAAGAACTGCTTCTCATACTGATGGCAGAGGACGCATGAATGCTCGGAATACATTAGGTCATACTTCGAATTCAGTTGCGGCCGGTGGCATCATGCAAGCATTGCGGTCTCATGTTCCTAACTCAGAACATTATTGCGAACATACATCTACTGGTTGTGAAGGAATTGTTCATACGGTAGCTGTTCATTACTCACATGCTCCAACCGAAGATGTTACTACCAAGTTCGTTTTTATCCTATTCATATTCATAAACTAAAACACCTTTCTTAATTGAAATCTTTCTAATGGAATTGTTTCTAGCTTTTACATTCTGAACCATCTTCATATGAGGTGTATGGGTCTGCTATTTGAAGAATTTTGCTTCCTCCAAATTTAATCAAGTGGTTCAGTAACACACAAAGTCATTTTTGTTTTTACCAAAATTACAAGTTTTGTGCAGCCACAAATATGTTTATTGGTTCAATTGCACGTCATATATCACTTTTCTCCATACTGCAATATTCCTTCATTGTTTCCTTTCACTTACAACGGTGAACTGAAATAAAGTTTCAAAATATTAGTAATGTTATGGACCTATCACCTTTTCAGTATTAGCTTGATAGAAATTAATAGTGCGTTCCCAATTTTTCTTCATTTCTTCGAATATTTGTATTCTAATTTTCAGAGTTGCATCTATAGAAGGAGCAAATGGAGTAACTCATTACTATATTTCACAGTAAACGAGCAGTACTTATCTCCATTTAATGTTCAGTTTTGGAATTGGTATTTAGTACTTATTCAAATTAGCTCGGATAGAATCTGTTTGTTCTTTTTTTGTTTCGTGTTATGGACTAATTTTTGTCATGCGTCTCGTTTATTTATATATCCGTCTTCAACGAATTGTGTATACGCGATTTTATGACTAAGGCTGATTTACTGTTTTTTTGTTTCGAAAATTCCTTGCAACATAATTTTGTTAAATTGGTTACTGAATTTATCAATTTTATATCAGATTTCGGATGTTATGGGACTTAGATAAATTAAAGAATGAATTGGTTTTCTAAGGAGTATAGTTTAAGTCCCGTATGATGTACAATAAGCACTATTAAAAAAAGGAAATACATGATATTTTCTTGACCAAAAATACTGATAACTTCTTTGGATTGCTGTTAGATATTGTTGTTTGCTGTTATACATTGTTGCTTTTATGCGTTTTATTATTTGTTAATTTCAATGTAGTTGAAAACTGAGGAACATTTTCAAACCTATTTTTGGGAATTTATAGTTTCTTTGGTTTATTTTCTGAACAGGATGGATATAAAGTAGAAATGGCTTTGTTCTTAGGATTAACTGAAGCAAGAAAGATAGACACCTTTTTTAACAGAAGAAAAAGGTGTAAAGCGGTTTTATAATCTATCCTATTAAGAACTGGTGGTGATTACTGGTGTTAACTGATGACGCAGTAAAGCGTTTTCAAAGATTCTGTCAAAATATTCAAATCTCGAAAGCATAATCAATAAATAGAAACCTGATAGATAAAAAAGGATGTCCTTCTTCAATATGAAATCGTGACCATGTGGAGATACACTGTACTTATCGGATTTTTCATGTTTAAAAACTTATTTATTAAGGAAATTTTGTAACTGTATCAGTTTGTCACTCATCTACTCATTCTGGTCACGATCCTCTTTGTTTTGTTGGTTGTTTCATCTATGATTCCACTGGTCATCGCATTTTTCAACAGATTTATTTCCTTGCATAGGTGATCTGCTTTGATTGCGTTGTTGGCACAACACTTTCGCTTATATCTCAATTCTTCATTTCAATTTCCACTTTATTGAAGAGATTTGTTTTTTTTTTCACTCACTGTTATTTCTGGCATAGTACTTATTCTGCTAGTTGCGAAAAAAAAGTTTTTTCTATTTTAAAAAAAAAAGCGGAAAAGCATTTTGTTGAAAAAAGAGGGATAAAGATAACGGATTTCAAAAATTCATTCCCTTGAATTTTTCTTGCACATATCTATTGTATATCACTTTCAAACCAGACATGCTCAAATGGTCTTGAGTGTACTCATAATTGCCATGAAAGCTTTTCTTAGCATAAAGCAAAAAAAATGACAGACTGTCAGTTAGTCTATTCTTTGTTTGCTTAAACTTAGGGCATCTTAAACCTAGTGGCTACAAATCTTCTGAAGAAAGGCATAAGTGAATATTTCTGAGTGTTGATAATAAACATTAGGATAAGTGCTCTGCAGTCATTCTACTTTCACGGCTTGGCCTTTTTTTGCTCACTTTCCAATATTTTTACCTTCTCAGTTTATTTTATCTGTGTTAAGAAAATGGCAACCAAAGATGAAAATTCTTTTCTTATTTTTTGTCTTCCATTTTTTCCTGTTTTTTTTAATGCGTTGACTAACATCCTGCTTGGCTTTTGTGTTTGTTATCCAAGTGTAGTGATAATTTAAATTTTCAAATATGGTTACTGGATAAATACGATTCGTTTGGGAAATTGACTTTCGCATAGTTCACTTCGCTGTTTTTATTTCGATTATTATCGAGATGCAACATAAAAGTTATTTACTGCAGTAGTTAAACGCAGTTAAGAAGATGGATGCAGCAGAAATCGTTTCAGCATTTAATAAAGCTGTAACTGTAATGGGGAATGTAGTTCATCTATTGATATTACTGTGCACAGAAAATCGTCAAACTTAAATTTTTCTGACTTTATGTAACTTTAAACAAATCAAATCCAAATCCCAGAAACGCGGGATCATTTATTACTCCAAAGCTATATTCAGACCACGATGTCGTGTTTTTCAGCGATATCCTTCAATTTCTGCCACTTGTGTTTGGTCGCTGTTCCCCGAATTAAATCCTCTAGAATGTGTTCTTCTGATATTTCCTCCACTGCAAAATAATCGAAATGGTAGTTGGTAACTTTATCAGACTTTATCATGCAGATAATATATGATAAGAATAACGAAATGTGAACTAACACTGTCGAATGGAATTGCCGAATTGAAATTAATAAACAAATTAAAACATGCAAAATAAGAAAACAAATTAAAATGAGAGTTCTGTCATTCGCTACGGCAGGCTCGTTGGTTAGATTGAAGCTTGAAAACGTTCAGAATGTGGTTCAGGTTTCATTTTATTAAATTGCTTTTTCTAATGCAAAATTAATCTGTAACAATGTTTGACTACTTGATGTCGCAAGGTGGCGTGCCAGATTTTATGATATAATTCGCTTGAAGTTGGTAATTGTATCATCACCCCATGCTTTGATACTATTCATCTATTGTGACTAGATGAAGCGATTGATAGGAAATTATGGTAGAGGCAAGTATGGATAAAAATGAATAGGTAAAAATAAGATAAATTTAAATGGTTTTTTTTTGAAAAAAAGAATTTTAATTTCAATTTTACTAAAAAAAAGGTACTGTGGATACCTCTGGTACTTTTATTGCACCAATCATCGTTACAGCAGCAAAAATAACCGAAAAAATTCATATACTGCACATTATTCATGCAATAGCTTATTATTCCATCATATCCAACTTTGTGCACTCCTTCTGTTTCACTAATTAGCTGTAATTTGATCAGATTTGGATTTTATTATTAATTTTGTTTGACTGAGCTCTTGAACTTTTCATTTTTTTAGCAACAGAAGCATTCAATTCATACCATTTTGTTAAAGCTATTACAAAATAATAGATCATTATTACTTGTGCCAATTTCTACAAGTGACTGAATTTTTATGATTTTTGATTTGAGCTTTTTTTGCTCTTTTCAGCTAGAACAGTGAAAGAAAAAATTAATACTAAATAACAATCAAAAAATAAAAAATAAATTAATTGTTAATCAATGCAATTGATGAAATGATAGTACCTCGCAGAGGAAGGAGTGATCACAGCCTCGAACAATAAAATTGCCTTTTCTGGCTAACTTATCTTTTAAGATGATAAAGCAGAATCCATTTGGTCCACAATTCTCCTCTTGTATATTCTCAAATTGATTCGAGAAACACTTTGTTGCTATCGTTTCTGTCACAAACAAACAAATTATGATAGATAGCTGAAAGAGCTGAGTAGTGGTAATTATTATCGAATCAAATTGAATTATAAAAAATTGGCGGAGCAATTCTTGATAACAAATTGTTAAATTATTGATTTTGGAGATTTTTAGTATATCGAATTAAGACGAATCAATCTCCTTATAAATTACTCACTAAACTATTATGCAATATGATGTTGATGTGATAACAGACTTTCAATTACAGCATAACAAAATTCATCCCTTTCTATTATGACTGATAGTAATTAGCATCACCAATTAATTACTAGTAATTAATTGTTGGGCCATGTTATAAAAGGTCTTATTTATTAAAGTTTACTAAATACACAGACAATACAGTAACCAACCATATACAGTAATCGACTTATGTCAATGAACTGCAAGTGACGACCGACTATCATTTCATGGAAGTAAAAAAAAATTTTAAGGAATAAGAAACCTTTTATATTACCTTGTTACACTTTCGCTATGGTAATTTCAAGCAAATTATGTATGAATCATAATTTGATCCTGCCAGATGATGCATGGTTTATGTTTTCTGATTAAGCTATCAATAAGTGATCTTGAAATTACTGCGCTGTTCAGGAAAACAAATCAATGATACCCGTAATAGGTTGAGTAAAGAACATGGAATTTGCATAAACGTACATTCAATTTTCATTCAACAAAAAATTTGAATTTCTGTTTAAACCATCTTTTGACCCTTGACCAAAGCAGAAAAAGGAACTAAGAGAGTTGAGAGAAAGGGAGCTGAAATGAAATGATAAGATAGTTTTTGCTTATAAGATTTTAATAGAATATATCTTTTATAACACTCGCTATGATTGATTCGGCTCTGTTCAATCAAAATAAAATTTTTTTTCATCCGATATTCTAAAACTATGCATAATTTCTTTAACTTATGATACTTTTGAAATGAATAAGATCAATTTCTGCCAAGTGCGCATTCATTTTTACTTATTCAGACACTTCATGGAAGGTGGCATTATTGCATTCTTTCGTCAATGAGATGTTTTATCGACTCGTAAATTTTATTGCCCTTTTTTTCAGTTCATGTTCATCTGGTTAAAAGCTGAAATTTCTGTGTTAGGCTATGATCATGCTGAGAGTTTTAATTCCAATAAAGACAGTATGGAATTGCATCAAACTATGGTTGTATTGATGTTATGATTTTAATAAGGACACCTGAGACTGGCATTTCTCTTTTCCAGAATCTTCATTTGAGTTGGCAAAACGCAAAATAACTTCGTAGAAAATTTTTTCTTCTTTCTCTTTCTTGTTAATATTTTCTTGTGAAGATTGACTATTAGAAAAAACTTGTAGCCTTGATTGCATTTTATTTAATTTATATTTTAACGATAGCCTTTTAATGATTTTTAAGAGAAAATTGTTGTATTAAAACCTTGAACTTTTTGGCTATATAACAAATGAAACTTTCCACGTAATCGGTATTACAGCCGCCAATAACTTGTAATACTCTCCTTAGAAAATATCCTCTTTTTGCAAGTTTAAAAAAGTGCAATAATTGCAGGTATCAAAGAATATTAAAGTGGGAGAATCACATGGCCCAAAAAAATCATTCAAAAAACAAAAGCCTGTTGGATCATTTGTTGGGTTCCTTCTATGCCATTTACAATTGTTTGCTAATGTGCTCAAGAAGAGAATAATCAAAATTTTTTCACTTACACATTTCAGCGCTTTTTTTTACTTTAGATATTTTAGTTTTTTTTTTAAATAGTTTTTTTAAATACACATTAGCTTACTTTCGAAATGTATAACATTAAAAAGAAAGATTTTAAAATATAGCAATTTTAGCAAAACAATGGAAGATATCCTTCACTAAAATGATTTAAAAACTGCAATGCTAAGAGTATTTGAAAAATCTTCCCAATGAAAATTTTACTGTTAGAATTAGAAGAAAATTTTAGGAAAGTTTTAGTGGAGGCGAATGATAACCTTTTGTCGGAAACCTATTATCACGGTATTGTCAATTGTATGGATGTGGAAAAATTATTACTGAGAGATGGAGATTTTTTGTTTGGTATATCGGAAGATGACGAAGAACAGGTGTTAACTTAAGCATATTAAATGCTTCGTTTATTGAAGTTCGAAATAATAAATGAATAAAATTAATTGAAGTCAATTGTATGGGTGGTACGCTATAATCGTGATTTATGGGCATTCAATATTGGCTTAACTGAAAAGGGTCAATATTTTGTGAATCAGAAATGTTTCAAAAAAATCACTGAAATGGTCTCCGATTATATTCGTACACGTAAACCAATTCATGAAAAGCTTCCGATCGTTGTAAAACGACCTGTTCCTCATCCGGTCAGTTATATTCATTTAATGCAAATTTGAAATCGTAACAAGAAGAATGTAATCAGTTATACACACAGCTAAACTCTAAAATTGGTTGATAATCATTTGTGTTCTAAATTGATGAGGAATAAAACACAGCATTATAATAGAAGTTTAACTATGCTTACAAATATTCGAGCTACTTAAAATGGGATGAAATTTATTTCAGGCTTGGGTAATATCACATGATCGAGTACAACTGAAAGATGAACTTGGCCAAGGGGCATTTGGTCGTGTCTTTAAAGCTGTGTTGCAAGATGGTCATACTTTCATGACAGTCGCAGTAAAAACATATGCTGGACAAATGAGCAACAAAACAAAACGAGCTTCATTTCTTCAAGTATATTCTTCTCTTTATATATTTTAGCTAAATCTCTAATTACTGCCACAATTAATGAAAAATGCACGTGTCTTCTTCTATTCGGAAATTTTCTTGGTTCATAATGAATTGCGAAAAAGGATAAACTTTATTCACTAAATTTTCTGTTGTTTTTAAATAAAAGTTTGAGAAAACATTTCCGTTAATACAAAAAATTGAAATTTTTGAAAATTTTGGATTTTAAATTAATAACTCACTGCAATCCTCTCACAATTTATATAAATCACATGGCTTCACACATGGTTGAGAAAAAAACTGGATCATCTGAATGCCAGATTAATTTTGGAGAAGAATACTGAGGACAAAGTTAAATTGTTTTGATTGACAACTTTGATGATTTAGTTTCGTAAGTCTAATATTATTTTCTTACAGGAAGCCAAAGTTATGAGAGAATATAAGCATGAAAACTTGGTCCAATTTATTGGTATCGCATGCCAAAAAGAGCCGTTGATGATAATCATCGAATTTTGTGGTGGTGGATCATTATTGAAGGTTTCCGGAAGTATTTTGAATTCTAATGATATATATTTGTAAAGGTGACACAACAATGAGGTTTAAGCGATATCACTGGGGTTAGTAAGAATAAAAAAAACAATTGTTGAAATATGTTTTTAATTCGTCTCATCCCTTATTGATTTAAAAAAAGAATTTTTTTAATTCTATAGAAAATTTTAGTATTTACGGAAGAAAGGAGCGCATCTCGGGATAGCAACCAGATATCGTTTTGGTAAGGAAGCATCAGCTGGTCTGAAATATTTGGAGGAGAAACGATGTATCCACCGAGATATTGCGGCTAGAAATTGTCTTCTCACGGAATTTGAAATGATGGTTCGTGCTTATCAGAAAAAGCGTAACGATAAGAATAAGCGAGAGAATTTAACTAAATTTGAATTAATTTGTTTTTTCTTATGTTCCAAAATTTACGAGGGAATTCTTCAAATTTTCTCTTTTCCTATTTATCATTCGGAAAAACTCTGTAATCTTGAGTTCAGAAACTGTATTACAGGAATTGTGTTTCGCTCTAACACTTACTAGCAAAGCCGTATTACAGGAATTATTTTTATCATTCAGTTGAAAATAGGCGATTTTGGATTGTCGATCAATGAACAACAAGCTTCCAGTCCCGAATTACAGTTGCCGACAAAATGGCTATCACCAGAAGCAATCAAATCGATGCAATTTACCACCAAAAGTGATGTTTGGGCATTTGGTGTGCTGCTCTTCGAGATATTCACTGATGGCAGAGAACCATATTATGGTCATTCATCATCATTCATTATTTAATTAACCGTCAATAATTAAGGAAAATCAGCACAAAACAGCGGAAATCTTACTTGTCATAATTGTAAAAAAAACAAGGATTTTAATAACCTATAGAAGCAAAAGTCTAATACTTCTTTTTTAAAAACTTTCTAAAATATTTCAAAAATTCATCTTTTCTCATTTAAACCCTAACGTGTCCCATATTCTGTAATGTTAATATTAAATTTCTCCAAATTTTCAAGTTCAAAATTTATAAATTATGTAGTTATCAGGCATGAGTAACGCACAGGTGCGAAAGAAATTAACTGATGGTAGTAAGTATCGAATGGAGATACCTCTTGAGATACCGCCAGGTATTGCGGAATTGATCAAGAAATGCTGGATGGAGGAACCCAAGCAAAGACCGACATTCAAGGAGATTAGTCGGACACTTACCAAAATAGCATTTTTTTGAAAGCAATGATCATTTTCAATAATTAGCCGATATTAAATGATTAAATCAAGATGCATGTCACTGTGAAGTTCTTCACTTAATATCCGAGGTGCTCCATTCCATTTCATAATATTAATCATCTAGTCGATGGAATCGACCAGAATGACCTTTTTCATGTTTACTTACTTGCTTCATCGCTACCGACAGAAAGAAAAGCGCCTCCTTTTTTTCATCACGTATCACACTGAAATGAACTCACGTCATTATTTGCTAAGAGCTATGAGAGAAATAAAACAGACAAAGCTTAGATTTAAATAAAGAAACTAATTATCATAATAAATGGATTGGTGGATTGATGCATACAAGTTTCGGTCGAAAAGTTAAGCAACCGCAGATGTCAAATGTTCCAGACATTAACTTTAAATAAATTCCTTAAATTTCTGCTATGACTGAAAAACAATAACTTCTTAAAAGCGATATAGCCGTAATAAAGTGATGATGACAAATATCAACGAATTTCACCTTTTCGTGCTTTGGTAACGGCAGCGACTGTAGAAATTTGAAGCTATGAAATAATGCCATGATTATGCAATTTGAGAACTGACTTTCCGAAACATCTCGATGACGATGATTGTCATTAATGCATTATGATAGCCTTAATAAACTGCTAACCTGACAATCTCGATCACTGTTATAGAGGCTAACGGTGTTTCTGATAAATTTCCCATCTCATTTGAAGATTTCTTGCCGTACAATAAAAAGAAAATAGATGGTGCATGAATTCTCTTCTATCTACTTCATACCTTCCAAACGATTTCACCGTAGGCACCGTAGCTTTTGATCATTTAAACAACCGCTTCAGAAACAATCGAGATTTAAAAATTGCACTTTGACTCTAGCACCTCCGACCTGCCGGGAAAGCGTACGCAAGGCAGCGTGATATTAGTGTTATGGATTCGGGAGTGGTTAGCTACTTCAAGGTTTATGGATTGCTTGTTGTGTCAAGTATTGAGAAATAATAGATTATGCTCAGCGTCTTATAAGTGTGCTGTATTAAATGATCAATGGACAAGTATAAAATGACGTGCTCTTTTAATTAAATTAATATTTAATGGAAGCAAATAATTTTATAGATAATTTTTAGGCTTATTTATCATAGTTCCATAAGCACAATGGATTTTCAACTATTAGAGAAAGATATGTATGGCGATGTGGAGAACGATGAAGAACTGATGGCCGAATTGTTAGCTTTAGAGGCAGAAGAACGAGCTGCAGGACATATGTCTTCCGCATGCACGAATAAAGGGCACGAGTGTAACACACGTCAACATGCTTTAGGTTTTACTATAAAATTCTGTCAGCATTCTTAAGTTTTGTATGAGTTTGCAAAGCATTTAATTAATTTAACGTGTGAGCCGAAATACATGCTGAAAAAAAAAGCCGTTCAAAATAAAGCAAAATTTAAGCATTCACGATTTTGACAGCTATATTAAGGTCGGGAGTAGATCGTTTCCGTTTTATAGTCTTGTTTTTTCCAAGAATCAGATTACCGAAAAAAAATTATTTTTGTGAACGGACCTATTATTTGTAATAAAAGCAGTGCTAAATTTAGACCATGAATCAGCTGAACAAGCTTCACGACGAACAAGTGGCGCATATGGCATTTCAAGTATATCAGATGTATCAGATGAAGATTTGGATGATAATGATGGAGATGATGTGAATGATCCAGAGCTTTTGGTAGATATGAAGACATTCTTTCAGAGATACTTTCATCTAATTTTAACACTGTCGGATTTTGGGTTTTTATCTTGACTTTTATCTTTCATCATTGACAAATCGAAATTATCAATTTATTCAACTATATATCAAATGATTTAAGGCAGAACTGTCCGATTTGGTTAGACAGGAAGATGATGCTGCTTGTGAGATTGAACCACTCACATCTTCGGAACCACCTGTTCCTTCAAAATCATTATATGAGTCTACTGTTGACATGATATTAGTTCGCAAATTGCAAGAACTTAAGGAAGAATATACTTCAGCACTGGAAGCTGCAAAAGAGAAAAATGATGTACTGCGTGCTAAAAGGTATAGCTGTGTTATCTATCAATCAGCAGTAGCATTTTTTACGTTATCTTCAAGATTACTGCTCATGTTCAACAAGTTATAAAATTTTTACTTTTGAGGTGATTATGAGATTGTTACTCTACTGTTATGGTTACTGCATCTTTGATACTAGTGAGAATTAGGAAGATTTCACAGCAGTATTGTTTCCTCACCTAGGTACCAAAGAGGATTAAGCAAGATTGAAGAATTGGTACGAAAGGCTCAAACAGGAAAAATGGTGGATGAAAATGAGATTCCGGTTTCAATCAAAGCAATTCGTTCTATTGAACTATGTGCAGGGAAAGCTGGCGCTTCAGTTATTTCCAAAACGGAGGTGATTTTTCACTCAAGACATTTTTGAAGCATTGCTTCAAAATTTAACACAGTTCGGAAGTAACTGGAATTTTAAACGTTTTTTTTTTTGTCAGTAGAAATACCAAATGAAATACCTCATTCTAAAAAGTTCTTGGAATTGAAAATTATTCTGAAAATTATTCTCTGGTTTGATACAGTATATTTTTTATGTGCCATTCCTATCAGTACAATTACACTCGAGTAGCTCAATTAGAAAATTCGGTTTGAAATGTAAATCTATTTCAATATTTTTGTTTTTGAAGATATCCACAGAACCAGTACTGCCAGCTGAAGTAAAACAAGCCACTGCGGAAGAAATCAATGAGCTCTCTAGCACTTATCGAAAACCAATTAAGAACTTGCTAAGAGGAGAACAGCTAAGCATGGAACTAACCAGTCGTCGAGAATCGTATATCAAGAATGCTAAAGCAGCCAGTGCATGTTAGTCCATTTAGAGAAGTTCTATTTTTCATATGTTCGAACTGGATAACAAATCTCATGAATTTTGAGGTTTACAATAAAGTTTGTCATTGTAATAGGTGACAAAAAAAAAGCTTATGAATATTACATTGTTGCGAAACAGTTCGATGAAGCAATTAAAGCTGTGAATGATGGTCGAGTGACAGAATGTGAGGAGAATGAACTTCCACCTCCAGCTATGCCTTATAGATCGACCAAGGTTAATTGTGTGCAAATATTCTTTTTAGATCTAACTCAACCTGTCTTAGTTATCAATATAGATTAAGTTATGTTGCAGAACCTGCGAGATAAGTCTGAGGAGAACAATTTTTAATGGCTGTGTTAGCAAAAAAATTAAGAGAATAGAAGCTGGCGTTTTTCTTGCTTTAAATTTCCAAGTGTCGGAAATGAAGGAAACGTAATGCAAAATTGAGGACTCTAATGTGAGAAGCGAAATTAAGAAGCAGATGCAGTACAGAAATATATGTGATTATATCTTGTAGAGCAAAAGCTTCAGCGATATATTAGGTACTGAAGTACCTAAAAGTATATAAATCATGGTGTCAATTAGTTTCTTTCAACTTTCAACTAAGCATTGGTAACATTAAATAAGAAGTACGAAATTTTTGCAGCACGATGAAATCCTTTCTGTTCCAACGACGCTAATGGATGGATTGCAACAGCGTATGCAGAAATATAAATCTTTATGCGATCAAAGCCAAGCGGAAAACGACGATCGAAAATATAGGTGTCTTTTTGATGAATTTTGATTATTTAGATTTTTTACATCTTTTCGAGACATGAACTGTTGTAGCAATTACTTTCTTTTATCTGTAATCTTGCAAATAACATTAAACCTGCAGTTTTTATTCTTGCTCACTTATTGTTTTACTTTAATTAATTTACCTTCAACCATCTATATTTACAGAATGAATGCTCGTATTTTGAAACGATATGAAGATGCACTTAAAGCATGTCGTTCAAATAGACCAATCGATATAAGTGAATTGCCATGCCCTCCTGGATATCCACCTCTTCCTTCAACGGGAAGCATGACTACCACTAGTGCAAGTAAATTTCTTGTATATTTGTTCCTTGCGTTCATACGGTTTAGCTTTGTTTACTTTTATAATTATAAATATGGTACTTATGTATTAAGTGAAATTTTAGATGGAATGGTAATACCGCAAAGACCTCTGCCGGAAGTTGGCCCGTTTGCTGCACCTGAACCTTCAATATCAGGAAGACAGTCACGTCAGAAGCAACAACTTGACTTTTTGCTCAAGCGACAACTGCAGTTCAAAGAAGCTGCTATTGCTGCAAAGAAGAAGGGTGACATCACTACTGCCAAAAAGTTTTTGCTTGCTGCAAAGGTATCTTTCACATTCCAGTCTAAAATTTGCAAATTAGAAATTATACTTCTCGATAACATTGAAGTGTACCTCTAACAAATCGCATTAGAAATTAGATCATAAATGTTTTAGAAATTTTACGATAGTTTATGTACGTGAGATAAAAGCTGAACATTAATAAATTTTTAACTGTTGCTTAATTAAGTACTTGTCTTCAGGGTTTTGATAGAATGATTACCGCCTCCAAAAATGGTTTGCCCGTCAATATTGAAAAAACACCCGTTCCACCACAAGTTCGGGCATCTGCAAACACGCTTAAACCATCACTAGAGCATCACACAAGTTTTGATGCTGCTATTAAAGGTGAGTTAAATGGGGTTTCAGTATTAGTTTCAATTAAGATTTCAGTTTTTTTCTTGCATTTTATGTGAATATGATATGTGAATACATATTTTTCACCTACTGCAGGAACACCTACTGAAGTATTTGCCACAATGGAAAGAGATCTCATTTATCAAGTAAAACTTTGTGAAGAATGTAGACTTGCTTTCACGCAGTTAGTTTTTGATTAGCTTTTTCTTTAAATTTTCAGCCTTTACTGTTGCTGAATTTACATTCTGCTTGATAATCATAGTGACCGATAGAAATGATTTAAGATAATTTACTTTAACTGATATTAGCCCTGTTTTATCTTGAGCGATGGACTTCCCATATACCGTTAGGAACAATCATTTATGCTGCTTAGTTTTTTTCTTAGATTGGGTGATGTAACTCGAGTAAAGATGTTCGAAACGTGGTCCTCTGTTTCAAAAAGAGACTTAATACTTTTACGCGAACTTGCCAAAAGGGGTGCAGCAGTACCACAGTAAGGAAATTTTTGCAGATACTAAATTTCTTTTATTTCATTTCGATGTCATTTTCCTGAAAGATCATTTTCTCATTTCATAAGTTTTATGAACTATTTTAAGTTTCAATTCAACTTTATCTTTTTTCAGATTCCGGTACGAAACTCGAAATATACCTTCAGCAGAAATATGCTTTGAAATAGATGAAAATCACATCGAATTGACAATAATAAAAATAACCGAAGCAAAGTTACCAGCAGGTTCTTGTCCATTCTCTTTCTTTTGTGTTAGTTTAGTTAGTTTATTTAAATGGTTTTAAAGAAAATACTTTTGAAAGAATGCAGATAGTGAAACCTCTCATATTGAATTATGCTATTAGTTTATTTTTTCCAGCAATACCCTTTGCCATTATCTTTTTTATGTTAAAATGAATTTCAGGTAGAGTGATACTCATAATTCTTGCTGAAATGAGATATGTTTTCTGCCTCCGATACTAACCATCTAAATTATTTGAGAATCAGTTTTATCTGTGCACTTTAGTAGTGTCCATTATGGTATTTCTAGAACAAATTTTCATGACAATATGCAAGTTTTACTGGAAGTTAAAAGAAAGATGTTCCAGGTTGGAAATCGTCTGACGGTTATTTGTTTGTAAAATATAATTTTGCATTTCCCCATGACGCTCATCAAACTGGTAAAACTAAAGTCATAGCTTCCACGAATTCGCCAGGTATTTTTCATCTATTCTTCACTTACAAATTCTAAGAAAATAATTGTTATGAGTATTCTTTTATCATGGAATGTAGGCTAAAGTATAATGAAATATTTGCGAGTTACTTGTTGCTGTGATACTCTTTGACAGAGAATACTTGTTAAAACCGACGGAAAAAATGTAAACGGTCATATTGTAGGTAAAAATATTTTTACCTCGTATCTTATCATCTTTTTAAAAATTTATTTGGTTTTATCCACTTCCTTCCACATTGTTAATATAATATCATTTTCTCAACTTGCCAAGCGTTTTGTTGTGCAATTATGCATACACTCCTCATCTTTTCTGATAATCAAAGAGTGAGGATAGTCATTGCTATTTTCATAAAAATAGAACAAAGGAAGGTAAATGCGTTATTGTATGCTTTGTTGCGATTGATTTTTTTATCAGCTTATTTTCTATCTTCTTTGCCATCATTACAAATATTTATTTATTTAGATATATATTTTACATCCGGTTATTTTCAGAATATAATCAGAAATTCCTATTAACAATCAATCGAAAAACGAAACAGTTGCAAAGAGTCATTAAAAGGAACTGCTTGAAATTTGAGGTTATTGAGAATCTAGTTATTCATACAGATATTTTCGATTGTATGAATAAATGGACTTCCCCGCTTATTTCATCAACTGCACGATTTCATCAAAAGAAAGAAAAGAAGTGGAAAATAAATTTCTTCTAACTTGCATATCATGAACGCAAAACTATTCTTCCAAGCTCTCCATGTAAATAGTGATTTAATATGCAAGGAAAGGAACTTGTTTTATTGCCTTTACAGTTCTTTTTTTCAGATCTACCAAAAGGGTGGTTTTCTAAGAAGTGACAAACTGATCGCTACTGCCGATTGTAAGTTGATTGATTTGGAAGAAAAAGTACACATTCATGAAAGTATAGATCTGATGGAAGGAAGAAAGAAAACAGGAGGGAAATTGAATTACCGGGTTATTTCTTATTTCATTTCTTATTAATTTGGTACTTCATATTCTGGAAATTTTTTGTATCATTTTTTCAGATTGAATTTAATTAAACTGTTCGTTTATTAGCAGAGAATTTCAGGTACGTATTCGCGAGCCTTTGGGTGGAAAAAAACTTTCTATTAGGCAAAAAAAGTGGTTGATATTGGAACTCTGAAATTTCCACGACCGCATGTCTTTTATTTTTAATAATTCACAATTGGCAGTTAAATAGATTTTATGAGGTTGCAGTTTAAATTTTGCAGGTTTATCCTTTAGTGTAGATAATTTTTATAAGAGATAGTTTAATGAATTAATCGTAAAGTACTTGATCTTAATTTGTCTAACAAATTCTCCCATTATTGTAATGAGATTTCATGATGATTAGTTCGAGCATATCTAAATCTTATGTTGTATACTGTTACTGCCATTTCGCAATTTTCCAATTTTTGAAAATATTCAGAAATGAAGGTTAATTTGGGAGTTAAAAAATGTAAGTAGATAAGAGGCCTTTAGTTCTAAATCAAAATAATTATGTTTCTTATTTTCTTCTGTCTTTTTCATCTACCGTCAACATTGGATCAGTCGATGTAAATGATACAGTTTTGCTTTCATTCCTTTTTCTTGTTGTTACTGTGTAAAAATTTTCACATTACATTAATTAGTACGGGTTCCATTTCTTTGTTGAATTCTGAGACGATTAGGAGGGAAAGAAGCTAATAATGCCAAATAGTCTTCATCTGAATGAAAAGAACTAGATGCCTGAAAACTTGACAAATGATGATTGATCCCTAATGGCTTGTTATACATACGCTTTTGAAAATGAGATTCGCGTGTTTTAGATTTTAAGGCGGAAATTCTTTGAAACTTTAAGAGGACATTTTATTTATTCTATTTGTTAATAATTCCAGCAAGAGGGAGATCATGGGACAGTAACATGACTCTGAAACTTCGGTTACGGATTTAAATAGGTGTTCAAAATTAGTGAAAAATTCACAATAGATAGCTATAACATAACACATCGAGCTCTTATAATAAAATTTCTGTCTACATTATTTGATTTATGTCTTTCATTTTACAGTTATTATTTATCGATATGGATGGAAATAAACTGTTAATGGTTCTACAATATTGATGTTTTGATATAGTTGATTTTGGCATTTTACCATGATTTTCAAATCAAATCTCACAGAAATGACATAGCCTTGCCTAAATTAAAATCAGTAATTGGGAAAGTATTAGTAAAGCAAGAATAAATAACTATCAAAGAAGTTGACTGTTTAGTTCAAATAGCTATCAAAATGAAGCAAACAGACATTTCATGGTCAAGCTTTTTCCCAACACCTTATTAGAGATTATGAGCACTCTCTAATATGTTATTATTTATAGATCAATAGAATAGTTATATCTAAAACAAAGCATATGACATTATAACGAAATTTAATAAGTATAACAAAATTGCAGAGATTGTTGAAACGGTTTAGACAGCTTGTGCTATTGTGGTGAGAGTTAGTAATCTTAACAATTTGCATTATTATAAATATTCATCAATAGATATCATTATCTCTGGTTCATTTACCACTATTCTATTCTAACTTTAGATCCATATTAGCATATCATCCAAACATTTAAATTTATCTCTGCTTTTTTGAAATCATTACTAGGAAGATTTCCAAACATTTCATTATTATTTTAATATCTGTTCCTAAAAAAAGCCCATCATACGTAGAGTCATGAAATTGGTTGCATAAAGATATACTTGTAAAATTTTTCATATTTGAACAACACTATCGAAGAACAGCCGCAGAATGTAGCTAATTTCAATAATCTTCGGTCGTGTAAAAAGGAAAACTTCGGATTTGATCATTATGTGGTTCGCAGTTATCACTTAAGATTTTTTGAGTTTCTGGTTTTTCGACATTCGATCATAGACAACAAATCTGTCAAAACAACAATTAGAGGATACAAAGTACATTTTACATTTACCCCAATATGGTACTGCTCTTTTTTCAACAACTATCCAATTTCCTGTTATTTTGTCATTTGTAAACCTCAGTATGTTTTCCGGAAAAATCAAAGGTGAGAGAAGAAAGAGAAAAGATTACAAGTGACAGAATAAGAAGAAATTGGATGGTCGTTGGAAAAGGAGCAATATAGTGGTTGATGTATTTAGCATAAGAGTGAAAGAATTGAAAAAAACATGCAATAATAAATTAATTATTTTTATTACACAACCGACAATAATTATCATGTGACATATTACTCTTATCTTTGACAGGCTAAAAGGCAGCTTTTCCATTTCCGGAATGGGACAACTCAAAAATATCGTTCATTTTTTAGAACTAAGCTTTCTTTCCCTTCTAATCATTATACATCAAATTAGTGTAATGATTAAGCGAGAAAAAGTACAGCGAATACAGTGTTTCATTATTATATGTGAAACAATCTAAAAATAGAATCAAAATAATGCTCTCACAATTTCCATATCTGATAGAAGGATACGATATTTGGAAAAACGAAAGCAGCACAGAGTCGGACATATATTCTAAGAGGTAACACAATTCACAAATAAACAATCAACTCCCATTTCAACGAAATATAACTAACCCAATAATGTCGATCCAAAGTCGATCCATCTCTCCTAAAGAAAAAACTTTCACCAATTAATTCGACCGTACCACATAACAACAAAGCTTGATATATGTTGTTTTTTATTCTTTTGGTATTTTTTTGACTTTTTGTTATTCTAATTACTATCGTTACACAATTATCCATTTGAATCTTTCAGTGCTAATGTTAAACATAATGGAATAATACAGAAAGTGACCGCTTGTCACCTACTACTCTAAGGAACAGTACAATTCATTGGAAAGGGATGGCTAAATCATGTACATTGGAATGCCTTTTTTAAAAATCAAATCTAACATAATGCATGAAAAGTATCTAATGACCTGCTTTTACTTGATACATTTCTAAACTTGGACTTATTTTAATCTAAATTGTTTGGTATAATATATTCCAGTACATGAAAACATTTTTCCTAAGTTGCTAGAGATGCAAAGTTTAACTAACTTTGCTATCTATAAAATGAGCTCCACCTATTCAATGTTTAAAAACGGTATAATTTTCATCTTTCGACAACATTTTCCTCAAAACTCCATAACCGGCAAATGAAACACAAAGTTTCACTAGGACTACTCGCTCGCAGAGATTGTAGATGCGAATTCAAATTTTTTCACGCGGGAGGAGGGAATGCGAGAAGTGGTTTGGGATGGTGATCTCAGGTATGTGGGGCTGTAGCATTGGACTATAAGTGGATGTAAGAAACTGGATTTCAAGTAATCTGAGTGTATAAATTAGAATTGAAGTATCTTTTGACAGCTTTTATCAATTAAACTTTTTTTCATGTAAGCAAAAAGAAAATTAATATCCGTTCTAAAAATGTCGGGAAATTCTTCTCATTCACATTCCACTCATTCGCGTCGCCATCTTCGTTCCACTACTTCTGGAAGTTCTCCGAGTTCACATCAAACAGTCTCTGAGGCTTCCGATAATTCGACGAGAACTTCACAGCATACGATTTCAAGAAATTCACCCCGAAGTAGAAGTTCACACCGAGCCGCACAACATCTATCATCCCCACAAAACCAAGAGATTGGTAATTTTTGAGAAGTTTCACAAATGCAATTAATAGATTATATTTGTAACATGCCCATTGATGTTAATATTGGACTTGAGTGTTCAAAATTTTAGCGAATTTTAATTGTGAATTTATTACTCTCGTCAAACTCCTTTGCCCACTGTTTAGTGGAATTCTTAGCAGGTCCATTTCAGTTTTTTTGACACTTCAATCAATATAATAGCTATTCATGCTATTATTTTATGTCTAAAATGTGATTTTGTATGCATAATAGAACGTGGAAGTACCCAAAATACAGAGCAGGAAGCAGTCCAACTCGATCAGAGTGAGCGCCATTCACCAGTACGATCACAGCTAACCGGTAAACCATACCTTTTTGATGTTGATTATCAGTCCAAATTTTATTATTTTCGTCAATATTTTTACAATTAGTTTAAATGGTAATCAAATTCAAAATACAATTTATACAAATTGGAGCTAAAAAAAGAAGCTTTGTCCTTGATCTGAAAGGGTATGAGAATACCTCCATTAATGGCGCAAGTTGTGTCTGATATAGCATGGCGTGATATATCTTATTTTACTTTTGATTATATTATTATGAATGTACTGGAACTTTTTTGAACACTTGAACTTGACTAAAGGAGAGCACTGAGCAAATCAGTAAAAACCGCTTATTTGGTAGAATATCTAGTAACATTTTTATTTTCTGGCATTGAGATATCCAAATATTTTTGATAAATGAAAAAAATACACCATATCTTTTTCGCCATTTTTAGAATCAAGTGCACTTCACTATGGCTCTGATCTGGACACATCAAGTCAGGTGGGCAGTACGATATCATGGCAGCGAACAGTGCGACATATGCGACCCGATATTAATTGTGCCCCATCTCAGCATCGTACTGTTTGCATTGACAGTATGGAGGTTTGTTTTTTTGTTTCTTTTTATTTTTTTGTTTCTTTTTGTTTTTTTGTTTCTTTTTGTTTTTTTGTTTCTTTTTGTTTTTTTGTTTCTTTTTGTT